TGCCGCCTGGACAGCCCTGTGCTCCCTGCCCGTGCCCTGCGCCCCGCGCCGGAGCCGGGCGGGCAGCGCGGCGGCCCCGGCCCGCCGCGGGGAGAGGGGAGCGGGACGGAGCGGAGCTTTACCCGAACTTGTGGGGTGGAGAGGATAGAAAATTAAAAAATAAAAGATAATAATGCTAATAAAGGCAAAGGCGGCTGTGGCGTTCGGGGCAGGACTTGTCTGTGCGGGCAGATGGTGCCTGGGCGGCGCACGCAGCCTGGTGGCAGTTGAGCCCCGCCGGGTCGCGTCCTGCGCTGGGCCCCCTAAACAGAAGCGCGGCCGCTCGCGCGAGGGCATCGCGGCCAGAGGGGCCCTGGCACCCCACGGAGAGGGGCCTGCGACTGTGGGGAGCCACGATGGGCACGGGGCCATCAGCAGCACCCTGCGCACCCCACATCTCGCCCACCACGGGCAAGGAACACAGAGCATGGAGGAAAGAGCCGCCTTTGTGTTCCCAGGCTCACAGACTGACTTAAGACCCATTCAAAATGCGTTTACATACAGACTGTAGTTCAGTGCCAGGGATATAATAATGTAAAGCCAAGTTCACTTTAATGAAAAGGCCTTTAGGTGTCACAGGAGTCACGAGCTTTCCAATGGCTTGAAAGCTCCCAGCAGGGCTTGGGTTGGAGGCTCCTGGTGATGTTAATAGGACACAGTGGTTGTGGGAAGATCAGTACAAATAAAAGCTCTCACTGAGCCTGGCCTGGGAAATACTATTTGGATATAGGAACTTCTGAGTTACAAATGCGAAAGAAACCTGCTCGACTAGAAGTGTTCAAGTTGTCCCAAGTTGGCGTTGCTTTTTGCATTCATTTCCACTAGCCCCACACAGGCAAACTCAGGCAAAGGATACGCAAACGCTCCCACACCAAAGATTCAGAAAACTAAAGCCAAAAGCGGCGCTCAGCCAAACGCTCCCCTCATGTTTGCTGCAAAATGCAGCAATTGCCGGGCCCCGGGGCAGGTGAAATGCCCTGGTTTGGCTGCAGTACCTTGACCTTTCCCAGGGAGCCGGGCAAAAGCCCGCAGCCGGATTGAGTTTCCCGAAGAGTCTCTGCACAGGGCTGGTTCATGGCATTGCTTCTGTCTTCTATTTCAAAAATAAGGTGCACATAAAAGTGCAAATTTCTGTGCAGCCTTTATCTAGAGGAAATTCATTTTCCACAGATAACACTCTATTTAACTACCTTGTTACTTTATCTGCAACTTGTGATGTTTAGTCATTTATTTTGCTATAATTTAATAAGGAACAGCTTTTTAAAAAAAAAAAAAAAAAAAAAAAAAACTAATTCCTAATATACTTCATCACAGCATCATGAAGCTGTCAAAACATCACGGGACGTTACTTGCAGTGAACCAGTAGCAGGCTGGAATATAAGTCAAACTTGTGTTTCCATTTGTGCCCTGAGTAAAGGACGTAGGGCAATGTTGCCTTAAATTGCATCTTTACCTTAAAAAGTTGACAGTCGCTTTTGGGGCTAATTGTGCCTTATCGTCTGCAAAGCTGTGTGATTTCCCTAAGTTTACAAAATCAGTCCTATAGCAGTAAGTGTGAACTTATAAAGGGGGTGGGGATGAGTGTCTCGGTGTAGAAAGATCATACATTTCATTATACAACTGCAATCTTTCAGCTTTGTAAAACTAAACCCAGCTTTAACACCTCCTCACCACCCCTAAATTGCAATTATATAGAGCCATAAGCTGCCTCAGCAGGTCTGTGTGCTTTGCTTCTACGAGATTTTTTGGTTAGTCTGCTTACATAATTTATATATCTGCAGGCCAGACACAAGACCAACCTGCCTTGTCCCATCCCTCTCTGCCACAGGGACAGCAGAGTGGGCACTGCAGATCCCCCCTGCTCTGATCCCCCCTTCTAGGACTGCTCAGGTGGTTCCGGGAGGCTCAGAGACAGCTGAGGTTTGTTTTCCAACAACAAGAAGGAAAGTGGGATATTGACAAGACTGTCAAAAACTGCAGTGAACTTTATGTGAGAAAGGAGAGCTTTAACCATTCCTCATATTCATACCCAATCACATTCAGATCCCTTTAACTACAAACATTTAGCAATATTTTTCCTTTAATTGCTTAGCAGATAGCTCAAAAAAAACCCACTCTGAATTTGGTGATTCAGATCTTACAAAAATTAAGTATTAATGGATACCTTAGATTTAAAGGTCTAAAGTTGCTGACTGGCACCTGGCAGAATCAAGATCTGGAGGGAGAAAAGGGCCAGGAGACTCTTCTGGTAAGGAAATTCAGGTGAAAACTGACAGCAAACGAGAGCCTATCCAAGGGGTCAGGTTAATGTTCCCCCCTGGACTGATGCTGGGGAAAGGAGAAGGCGCTGAGGAAATGCTGAGCAGGCTGTTATTTTCACCAAGACCAGCACAGCCCATTAGGATAAACTTGCATCAGAGAGAAGAAAGAAAATTGCACTGTGTTCGGAGCAGCTCTTCCTTGAGAAACCCTGGCTCCTAAAGAAAGCAAAAAGGCTCATAGCAATACTAGTGTATGCCAGACTTTCTCCAACGATTACATGAAAAGGATGGTTCTGGACACTTTTTTAAATACACTAAACTATGAGAATTGAGATACTAGAAATGGAGATAAGTAGCTTTTAGAGCATGAAATTGTAAGGGCACAGAGGGGAGAGCTGCAGAATGTGTAAAGAAAAAGTTTATAGACTATGGGGAATAGAGAGGCCTGCAAAATAAGAATTTAAAAGAGAAATTAAGGAAGATGTATAAAATAAAATGAGATACTTAACTGATACAAGAGACATTCTCTCCAGTTTGTTGTTTGGGGATATCCTGAGAATGAAATGAGGTATTTTTTTCTGAATTGCAGGTTGCTTTTTGAAGAACTATGAGCATTGTATGTCCATAAAATCATGCAGAAAGGGCTTACACTGCCTAATTACACTGTGCGAGTGGGGTGGTTCTTGGAGCATCCATGTGTCTGTTTCACTTAACATCTGTCATTAAAAAGACAGTGAAAAGTTGTTCCTTGGGCAGCACCCACTCACTACTGCTTATGATTTTAATCAGACTGCTTGTCCACTTCTGCTGTCTTTTCCCAAGTGGAGATTCCAGCTCCAGTTAATTGTTCTCTCCATAGGAGTAACTTTCATACCTTTGTCCGTCTTTTCTTTCCCTCCCCTCTTCATCCTTTTCCAGCTCCTCTATATCCTGTTCTGCAGTGATGATGCAGGGAGGTGCTGCAGCAAAGGGAACAAAACTGTTCAACAAGATCGCACACAAAGTGCTATTTATTTGCTTTAGTAGCACTGGTGACTCCTCAAGTTGTTCCTTGAATTGATTTTTGGCCCAAGTGAACAAAGGATCCCCCTGAAGTGTTCAGATAGCCAAGAAGTCCTCACGAATATGTGGCATTTGTCAAAAGCAGGAGGAAAAAAGCACAAGTACAGCTCTCAGTTGCCCTCGTAAGGCAGCTTACATAGCAGAGCAGAAAGCCTTCTGCTAACACTGCAGTATCTGCTCATATAAATGCAGTCGTGGTGTGGTGTGTGTTCCCCACAGGGGCCCACTACCCACTGCTTGCGGTTCTGCAGGTCCAACACCAAGTGCCTGGCACCTTTCGCCAGGTTGGGGTTTCACAGGGAGACTTCTAGCTTGAGCCATCAGTTTCTCAGACAACAGGAAGCTCTTAGAACAGTGTAGGGCAGAAATAAAGCATCATTAATTACCATCCTCAGAAAATTACTTGATTACATGTCACTTAAGTCTTTCATTAGCCACTTTACAGAAATTTGTTACAGAACCAGCTGTGTAAGATACTGTTTTAATTACTTTTTGTTTGCGGAAAATGTAGGGTGGGAATCTGACATTTTTTTTCCTGGATTTAAATGATAGAGGAGGGGAAAAAATCAGAACAGTTAAAGACCAAAAAATAAAAATAAAAAAAAAAAGGAACATAAATGTTAAGTTTTTCTGGCAAGAATATGGAATACCTGAAAAGAGCAAAACAGTTCTGGTTTATGGTCACAGACAGAAGGATGCTGTGAGTGCCTGAACAGATTCCTCATGAGGTTGAATTTTGAAGCTTTTTGAAAACAACGCTTTGTAGGACATGAGCAACTTACTGGTGTTACTTAGTTTGTGGGGTGACTTCAGAACACATCTCATGGTTAAACTCCATAGTAAGAGGAATATGGCAGCTTTAATCGGAGAATTTAAGAAGCGGGGCTCCGTACCAAGCTCTGCAAGGCCAAGGGTTTTTCTTACAGCTCACAGTTGATCAGTGTCATCTATTCTCTCCCAGACAATTGCTACGTAAGTTCCTAAGTCCAGACAAAATCATTTTTCTTGGAATGCTGGAATAATAAACAAAAAAGTGGTACTGTGCCTTATTACATGTACAACTTCACCTATTTGAGTAGCCAGCATTCTAGCTGGGGAAGACACTATAGCTACACAAAAGGCATTATAGCTGGAGCTATTAGAATCTGAGATTGTATGAGGGATTATTATTAACAGTATTACTCTGAAGCAAATCAGAAATTGATTTAGAAAATATAAGTAATAATTTCTCCACTGAGGGTTATCATCCAGTTTGGATAGGGTGATGTGAAGGTTGGAGTGCCGCCCCACTGCCCTCTTGGGCTGGGTTGTCTGCATCCAAGCCTGTGCATTTAGGGATGCTCAGTGGTGGACACCAGTGCCCAGCTCTCCTCCCCGCTCTTCATCTTCCCTTTCATCTCTTCA